TGTAAAAAACTAAGATTTAGTCGCTTTTTCAACTTTGCTTTGTGGGCCGAAAAATTTACCTTTACGCAAAAACAAAAGCAAATAATGAGGCTTTTATTGGACATATTTTCTGAGAATTTTATCTGATCAATTTAATGTCACTAGCATTGTTTTCGTATAGGAATTTTCCTAATTAAATGAGCTTTTAATTTAATAATTTTGATACTCTATAAACTTCTCATTTGATAGCCTCACTTTTTTATACACCGATTGAGAAACAAATTCGCTCTCGTTAAATCCTATTTTATGACCTATTTATTAGAACTCTAGGTAACATACGAAATGATGTAACCGGACAGGCTTTAACCTTTGGTCCTAATTTATTTTTTCTTCGCAACCCCTAATCAGTTGACGGGCCGTGAAAGAATATCGCCACAAAAAGATGCGAAAAAGTTTTCGCTGAGTTTCCTTTACATATTCCGGCTTTATATGGGTCTACACCCCAATTGCCTGCTTAAAAATGAAACTGTTGTTCAATTAAGTGTCAGTCAAACTCGGTATAATCTTGACTTGCAAATCCAAATGCAAAGGTTTATTTCGCAGTAGAAAAGCGTGTAAACATCATCGAACAGCGCAATGTAAATTGGCTAATGTGAAACCACGTTTCTTTCACTTTATTTACCATGTATTTATCTCAATTGCACACTCTTGTGAAATTAGCCTCAGACAATTAGTTGCGACCTTTAACAGACTCAACAAGCCAGTATGAAAATATGTTAAGAGAAGCTGAGCTCTACATGTTCTATTTCTTTTTTTCATATTGCCCTTGCATGTGTTAAGATTCCATTTCTTTTTTGTTACAGGTAACTTCCAGACATGACGAGGAGATAATTACTTTTCTAGAGAGCAATCCTTTGATACCGTCAGTTATTACTGACTTACTTTGAGTTAAAAACGAAGAACACAGACACTGGTAATGACAAAAAAACATTAATCCCTGGCAAGCCTACAAAACAAGAAAGAGGAACTCAGACTCCTTATCAAAATGTGAAACAAGATAAAAAGAGCTTTTCTAACGTAGGGAAAATTGCGTTCGAGAGATTTGTAATTGCAACGTTATATTCAAGCACATTGCATTGTCAAACATCATAATTTACTGAATAATGAACAGTGATTTTGGGGCTTAGCTCAGTTTGTAATGAACTTTGAAAGATATTCTATAACCTTGTATTTTTAAAAGCTTTCATGGAACATAGATGCATTTTATTATACAATGAAAATAGTCTCTGTCTCTCTTTTTACTGATTTCAGTCAATTCCATTTTATTCGCAATGTGAAATGGGAATCCTATTAAAGACTCATTAAAAGGGGTGAGGAGTTTTTACAATCCCCCAACAGGTCATCTCCACGATGACGCTGTTTTATTACTTCGGCAGAATCCCTCAGGGTTTTACTTTCTTGTGAAAATTAGAGCTTTTGTTATTTAAACTTCGCTGGGACAACCAAATCTATGAAAATGAAAGGAATAGCAATGACGTCATCGTGTAACCGTACATCAAAAGATAAGCACTGTGATCTGTTTATTTTTTTTTTTTGCCAGGCTTAAAATATCTGTAGATTCAAGGAATTATAACCTGTGCGTTGAAACATGCCAGAGACCGATTTTGGCATGCCCGGCATGACCCAGATTATGGCACGCCCGGCATTCCAGAGAATTTAGCATGCCGGGCATGTCAGAAAATTTGGCATGCCCGGCATGCCGGGGATTTTGCTGGGTATGAATTACTTATTACTAGAACCTAGGCTTCTCGCGGCCTGGGTGAGAAGGTCACAGAACCTCAAATTATGCTTACAGGGCATGCGAAATTCTGTTGCATGCCAATTTCAATGCAAAACCACTCTGGGGCCACCCCCTCTATTACCAGTGAGCAAATCATTGACGATAGGCATGGGAAAAATCCTTGCATGCTAACCAACATTGAAAACGTAGCAGAAATGTCCTCAATTGCTGAGTCATGCCCTAGGGGAGGCTTTAAAATACAGAATTTCCTGACATGGATGAGGGAATTTTCCGTAAACAGCATGTGATCATGCCGGCTAGGACGTATTGTCTCCGTATTGCCCCTTTTTACAACTAGCTAGGCTCATTTTTAGGTTTCATGGCCTGAAATGACGAAAAATTCATGCCCGAAATGTAAAAAGTCCAAAAACCTCCTCGAAATTTTAGTTTCCAAGCCGTTGTAACCTACGAAAATGAAAGGATTTCAATAAAAAACAGCTTACCGTACTTAAAATTTGCGTCTCTCCTGTGTGGTCCACGGGCCGATTTATGGCCGTTTATGGGTTTTTATGTAAACGGTTTTCTGTCTATATATAAAGGTTTACCAAGGTTCTTGGTAAATCGTCATATTGCATTCTCCTTTAATTTGCAAATCGCACATATGCGCATATTTAGCCGCGAACATTTCAAAAACTCACTTTTACTTTACTGTACGGGCAGTTTAATTGGTAAAAAAGTTAACAGCCAATTTGCATAAACACTCTATTGACAGATGACTGAATTTAGTTTATAACAAAGGAGTTTAGCTTCTTATTGTTTATTCATTGTTATTCATTGTAAGTTATCCACCTATCAATGTAAAGCCGGTGGGGGCGGGAACTGGCAGGGCATGGGGTGGGGATTTGATTGTCTTTGTTGTCCCTGGGGTAGGGCATTTCTTTGACTGATCTTGTTCTCCCGGGGAAGGGGATATTTGAATTTTTCTTCGCCCGACGTGGAGATATTTGACTGCCGACTCGGACGAAAAAGACTGAGACCGAACATATGTTTCCCGCGTCCACGCCTCACACATGCGCCATACGGTTTGAAAAGATCAGGAAGTCATGGAGGCTAATGACAACAAGTGAAGGCTGAGTGGATTTCACTGTTTTGTCTTTAATTTTCGTTTCTTTTTAGCGTGTTTTTGATCAATTTCTTCTTCCATGGTTAACTCCATCACCAATGCTGTTCCTAAAGTTGAAGATTCGGCGCAAATTTAAAGAACATTTTACATTTTGAGGTGTAGCAAACACATCCCTGCTACGTCAAAGTTTCCTGAATTACGGATTCTTAACTACCAATCAAACATTATTTAGATTCTTAAATATTTCTTGAATTTTTCATGAAAAAAGCTTAAAATATAGGAAAAGATAGGAATTTGCTCAATTTATAGGACTTAATACGACAGGTCTGAAAAAATAGAATTTAATAGGATTTTATAGGAATATAGGAATCGCTTGACACCCTGAAGGAGTGTAACTGAATCTGTATGCGATAGCAGAATGCCCATGTCAATGATATATGAAATAAATCATATATGATCTGCGGGAATGAAATGAAAATGAAGAAATGATCATCGCAGTGAACGCAATTTATGCAATTGCGTAAAGAAGCCGGTTGTTGTACCGGGGCGAGAATGTCACTCCAGTACGAAATCTCGCAACGGTATCATGTAAACGCGAAACGACCACACGTTTCGGTGTGAAATCGGTCTACCGGTAGACTGGAACGGGTAGCGCATGCGTAATGTTTGCGATTTTGAATCACACGTGTATTTTATTAGCAGGAATTGACCTTCACATGACGAGATAAGAAATGACCCAGTCATCATGTAAACGTGAAATGAGATCAAAAAGTCATCCCGGTACGAAACTCGACCGGTGGAGTTTTCTCATGTAACAAATTACAGAGTATAGTCCGGTGACAACGCACCCCCGTGACTACACACGGCGTATAACTGCATCTGTAACAAATTACAGAGCATAATCCGATGACAATGCACCCCCGTGATTAAACACGGCGTGTAACTGCATTTGTACCTAACCAGTAACAGAATGCCCGTGACTACACAAGGCGTACAAATTCATCTGAAACAAATTACGGAATATAATCTGGTGACAAAGCAGCCCCCGTGACTACACACGGCGTATACTGCATCTTGAACTGGTAAAAGAATACTCGTGACTCTTCTCGGTTTTCACTCACGTGAGAAAGCAGATATAACAATGGAAACCTTTTAATACAGAAAGTCTAGAATCTGGGAAATTAAAGAAGATAAATATACAAAAAGCCTCGCCAAGAATCAGGTCTATGCAATAGTTCATATGCGAGATATTCGGAAAAACGTTTTACTCAAATTTATAAAGCTTTGTATGGAGACGCCATGTTTGTGTCCCTTTCAGGGGCACAAATATGGCCGCCGGAAACCAACAGAAACATTTGTTTTTGAGTTTCCCTACTTATGCGTGAATTCTTCGCTTGAGGAACTCATAAAGGTTAAAACAATATTTATTCTAAGACAAGGAATGTTTAGATAGCAAAATCTCCAAAAATCCGTAATGTTTTTAACCCACTTTTAGCTTTCCCGGCCGCCAGCCAAATGCCGCGTCAAACAAAAGCGTGGAAATTCAAGCGTCCTGTATCGCAAAACAAAGAACCCTTTTGAACCGAAAATTTGTTTATTTGTATAAAGGTTTTAAGGTACTCTAATATCACATGAAAGTAGAAACTCAGAAGAAGCGATAGTTTCTTAGTTTGAATTTTGGTGACGTCATGTGAAAACCAAGAATACACGGCGTTTAATTTACTCCATCTATAAGATTTAACAAATATAACCTTATGACAAACTACCCCCGTGGCTACACACGGCATTTGCGTGAAGTTTAAGTTGTGCGCATGGGTACCATAAACCCGGCGTAAAAATATCTTTGCACGCTTAACCGGGGTTTAATCTCCTATATATGGCTTCCCTTGTCTTCTACATTTGGTGCACCAGCAGGCAAAGCAATCCAACCGGAAGCTCAAAACTCCTGATGCGTTAATAACCACTTTACTGCATGACCGCGGGTTGTTGTTGAAAAAGGGCATGTGTTGGAACACATGATCACGTGATAACGCACAAATTAGCATTTAGAGGGAGCGTCTGCAACCAGACAATAAAGTAGACCACAACGTCATCAAATAATTGAAGTAAGTTGAAGAAATGGCTTCGCCGAATTGCTCAAGTCTTTTAATCAATGTTAAAGATTTACTGCTACTGCAAGGCGTCGAAACACAACGGGTGAAGTTTAAGAAGGCATGGCACAACAAGAGGGAAGGCGGAAGTTACTGGCAAATTATTCACACAATCTGTGCCTTCGCTAACGATTTTTACAACGACAATGGCGGCTACATTATTATCGGTGTAGAGGAGAAAGAAGATTGGGAAAATGACACAGATGACCGCCAGATCATTCTGCCGCCTCTTGGTGTTCTAGCCAGGGACCTCGATCGAATTCAGAAGCAGATCACGGGCGCTTGTCGAGAGAATATTAGGCCTGAATACTTCCCTATTCTTTCACCCGAGGTAGTTGAAATGGAAGGAACAACAAAGCATGTACTCGTGATCTGGGCGATGGCTTCCGATAACCGACCCCATTCGTGTAAGGAAAGTGAAAAAGGTCAAAGTCGTTACTACATCAGGCGAGCTACAGAAACGAGGAAAGCCTCACCAGACGAGGAACGTCAACTGTTGACTTTGCACAGCAAGATCCCTTTCGACGACAGGAGGGCGCACACATCTGGTATATTGTTAACTGTTGACTTCTTCCTTTACAGGCTTGTTTTAAAAGACACTCCACAAATTTACTTTTGTTCAATTCGGCGACTAATTTTTAGCGAACGAACTCAAGAAACCTTTTTTAATTACTAAAATTGTTTATAGTTTCAAATCATTGAAATAGTCAAATGCCATGTGGTGCATTGATAGCCATTCATGACTATCACCACCGTCATTCCCATATTACAACTTCTGCTTTAGTTTTCTAACAATTACCGTGAGCAAGATATAAAGAAATATGCATCTCGAGGAGGATGTTATGGAGATGATGTGGGATCACGCTGCCGGCCGCTTCTAAACTGCTGAGCCAGTGGCAAGCGCATCGGTTTCTCATTCCCGCGGGCTGGCGTCCTTAGGTTAGTTGGATTTGTTTCTCGGTAGCCCTGAGTTAAAATTCTCGGCAAACCTTGCAAATGCCAGTTTGGATCTCTTTTTGAAGCCTGTGATGTTATGTTGGTATTATTTGTTTCAAATTATTTGCGTAAAGTTCCTGTAAACTAGTTCGACCAGCTAAGTGTACTCCCACTATAAACAATGTTCTTTTTTTTAAATGTCAAAAATTCTGAGGACCCCTGCAACAGGCCTAAAGAGGAACGTGATCCTAAAAGTAAGGATTTTATCGCCACAGTGTTCAAAGAGTCCTAGAGTGTTCTTCGTGAACAAAAAATTTTACATTTAACGTAAGGAAAAATGTTCCAGGGTTCAGTTATTGACTGTCTAAAACAGGTCCAAGTTAGACCTACACCTTAAAACTTCTGAGCCAAGAGAACACAATGTTAAAAAGCCAATGTTGTGTGGTTAAAGTCAGAACAATACTGCTGATACTGTGATATTCGTTTATTTTTCCAACAGGCTCTGGCAAAAAGCTATCAGATGCTGATATTGACTTTGAACTAGTCAAAAAATTCCTAAAGGGAGTTGGAAGCCGATTACTTCATCAACAAGGCGATAAGAAACCAATTCACTATTATGAAAGGCTGAATCTTGTAACGCAAGTTGGAGACGCAAGTGATGGTGGGAAAATGGTCCCAGTTTTCGTTCCACGAAATGTTGCCCTACTGTTCTTTCATGCAAGTCCTCATGATTTCTTTTCAGGAGCAAAAACTGAAATTGCAATATACACGCATGAAGATGAGGTTACGGAAGAAAAGACCATCACTGGACCTATTGACCAGCAAATCCACGAAACCCTGTCCCTCATTTTGGAAACAACAAAAGAAGAAGCTCGTCGTGAGTTTGTAGCCTATCCAGTGCGAGCTCTGAGGGAAGCGGTTGTGAATGCATTTCACCACAGAGGCTACGAAGTGTGCGACAACAATCCAATAAAGATCCACATCAAGCCAAACTGCATCGATGTCGTGAGTTATCCTGGCCCTGATCCTACTCTCAAACCAGAACACTTCTCTGCCGAAAATGAAGTACCTTACGTTCCGTCAAGAAACAGGAGAATTGCTGAATTGCTTAAAGAAAGGAAATTGGCTGAAGGACGGTTTACAGGAGTAAGAACAATTTATAGAAGCATGAAGAACAACAACAATCCCAAACCAACCTTCGACTTCAGTCGGACCTACTTCCACGTTCGACTGCCAGGCCACCCTAAGTACATTGTATACTCCATTGTACGAAAAGTTGACAATTTTTGTGCAAAGGGAGACAAACACGGTGCCATAAAATTACTCAAAGAATTCCTTGATGAACAACTCAAAGATACACCTTCATTTCTGGGATTTGAGATGTTAATTTCTAAACTTCTGGATCTACTCGACAATGACATGAAACATCCATTCATGAAACCTTACGAACGCTCTATCACTGAGAAATTGAGGCGGCTCATTCCCCTTACCAAAGAGCTTAGCAATTGGTGTGATTCTACAAAACCCCTAGACATTTCGACGGGTGTCAGGATCGTGGAGAGACTTGTGGAAGAAGGTGCCAAGTATGAAGATGTGGAGTCTGCTGTCAGAAAAGCAGTTGAACTATATAAAAACAAAGGTCAGCAGCCACTGGCATCTTCCCAAAATGCTCACAAGCTGTTTGAGGCGATGGGACGAGAGTTGACTAAAGCTAATGGCTATGTGGCATACCATGTTGCTTGCTGCAAGTTCAACCTGTACAGTCTTACTAAAAAGTCAATGCAAAAGCGGAAGGACCTCGTCGGTTACCTAAAAGAAGCAGAGGATTATGTCGATAAAGCCATATTACTAACAAATGAAGAAGACAAGCGCCAACTGGCCAAACAATACCGCCAGCTAGGTTACATTCACTCCCAACTACAGGTCATCCAAAAGTCAACAGAGGAGCGAGTCATTGAATTCTACGAGAAAGCACGAAAGTACAATCCCTGGATAGAAATCAATCAAGTCTACATTCCAGCGGGGTACAAACCAAACTTCCGGCAATTTAGAAGACCTGAACATCTTTTTGACCTCCTGGAGTTGACATACAACTATAGAGCCTTCATTGATAACGTACAGCATGGATGATACCAGTCTTTCTATTATCCATGCGTACAACCATATTACTAACAAATGAAGAACACAAGCACCAACTGGCCAAACAGTACCGCCAGCTAGGTTACATTCACTCCCCAACTACAGGTCATCCAAAAGTCAACAGAGGAGCAAGTCATTGAATTCTACAAGAAAGCAAGAAAGTACAATCCCTGGATAGAAATCAATCAAGTATACATTCCAGCGGGGCAATAATCAAACGTCAGAAATTCTAGAAGATCTGAGAGTTTGATGATCTTGGTGAGTTCCTAGCGCTGATATACGATATGAAGGATTAAGAACCTTAATCATCAAGTGAGGCAAATGGTTGTTTACATCAATAGTTGAATAACTTTATAACTTTTTCTGAACTTTGAAAGTTGACCACATCTTTCAATTGAAGTGCTCAGTAAAAGAGGAGTTACAGTATGGTGTAGGTACAATGTAATGGCTATATCGTTTTCAGAAACTCTACATCGGCATTATCTGATACTTTTCACTATATTATAATGCACATCTTTATAAGTAAACAACCCCTCCTCCCATTATTGTGCACAGGCAATGATGGGAAGGGGAAAGAGTGGTTTTTCCGAAGTGAGGACTCCACTTATGCTCTAATTTTTCAGCAACCAAAAACTATAATCTTCAGTCAAATTGAATTTTTTCATATTACTTCGTCAGGAATAGGTCAAGTTATAATCATTATTTTCCGTTAAGATGTTTCATTACCATCATGTTTTGATGATATACGGTATTAAATGGTATCCTTACCAAAAGTTAATAGCGAGCGAAACGTAAGCTAGTAAACATGTGTTGATCTCACTATCTGTAAATCTCAAGGAGCAACCTAGCTCAGTCACATTAGTTCACAGACGTGAAAAAAATAGGCCTGTCCAGAAAACAACTTAATAAAGGGATTTTTGAAAATTGGGCCGAGTGACCTGGTTGGCCTAATAAGCTTGACAGATTTAGTTCAGAATTCAGATGGTGAGGAAGGTGCCAAGCAGGGAGCAGAGTGGATAACGGGGGAGGAGCCAGGGAGTTGAAGGGCAAAATACAACTGTAAGTATTCTTTGCAAAAAGTTGTTTTTGTAAACCCAATTTGGGAAAAAAACCTTGGACTGGGAATTTAATAGTTATTGTTAATGTTGTGGTTCAATTTTGTCCTTGTTCATCCTCTGTTCTCCGGTACGGCTACCGTGATATTATGAGAATATTAATATTACGATTATGAGAAACAGTGGAAAATATAATATTTGAACCCAAAGATAAAATTGAACCACAACCTCAACATGTCTAACTGCCAGTGTCCTTGACTTTGGTAGGAAAAAACATGATATGGTGTGGTTACAAGTTTATTTGATGCATAACCCAAGGAAAAATTTAAAATTACGCTGTAACATGTAGCTGCACTTGAACAACCATCCCAAGATAGTCTTGGAATGGCTACAGTAGTCTGTTCATTTTACCCTCGACTGGTAGATGACAAACAATTTTATTTTAAAGCAAGGTCCAAGGCCATTCCATTTGAACTTTTGACCGTAACACAATATTGTTATTATTATTATTATTATTATTATTATTATTATTATTATTATTATTATTATTACTATTATTATTATTATTATTATTATCATAAATGACACTAGGCAATGCAAACAAGCATATCTATTGCACTAATACCACTCTGACTTACACTCTGAAATCTAAGACTCTAACTCCGCTAGCTAAAGCAACAAACAGTGATGTTCTGTTAAATGCCAGCGAGTATACAGGACTGAGAGAGTTCATCCCAGCATAGTACATCTGCAAGATAATCACATACAACAAGATCTAAAAATCACTGATAATTGTTGCTCTTGTCCAAAAGGTGTTTTATAACCCAAAAAATGTTCTCCAGAAATTAATATTTCTTACCTGAACATTTTTCCTAAATCTCTTATCCCATATTCGGACCTTAAAAAAAAATAAAAGAATGATATTAAAAAATAAGAGTGATGATGGGATTGTAATAGCCCTTTCTACCTGGAAAATCATAGTTTAATTCTTATATGAGTTATGAAGTAGATGCATTAGATCCAAAGAGCTGTTGATTTTATTCCTCCCTTTCAGCTTGCAACACTGTTTTTACATTTTTGCACTTTAAAATTAACTGACATTCCTTTCTTATAGCAGCAATTTATTTATACGTTGGCCCAAATTTTAGTTGATTCCTCTGCTGCGTGAACAAATGCTTTAATTTTCAAATATCATGAAATTAGCCACTAAGACATCTGATGTCAATCATGGTTATTGCCTTTCAAGGAAATGCTGCAAGTCCAATTACAATTACATTGTTTAAGTTCTTGTCTGTGCCCACTTGTAAAAGAATTAAATTTTGTATATGCTTTGTACCAAACATGCAAAGCCCTTACAGAGAACAAGAAAAGTTACAAAAATCCCTGAGCTACTGATGATTATTCCCAAGGAAAGACACAGATAAAAACTCAACATGCTGCCATCTTAATGAACGAGTTATTCTATTGATTTCATGGTATTAAATGTTTAGTATTACTTACAACTCCATATCTGTTGGTTCCACTGATTACCATCCACTTGTTATCAGAATCAATGCAGTACACTACTGAGTCATGAGGGTCTTCCCACTTTAAGACACAGGATGCGACACTGAAAAGAGTTCATTGCATGATCAGAAATTACCTTAAAATAATGATTGGGGAAGTGAATTTACCTATAGGTGTTGCTTTGTTGGCCTGTTGCAAATCACAAGAAAATGTTGTTCAAGGGAGTGTTCTCTTGCCATCATAATCATCATCATCATCATCGTCATCGTCATCATCTTTATCATCATCATTATCGTCATTCAGCCCTTTCAGTTGGGATGCTCTCTGTTTCAACAATCTTATTCCATACACTCTTTTTAGTGAAGCTTGGCCTGAATACTTGCAACTGCCTAGGTTCAATCCCCAACATTCACTATGCTCTAGTAATGCGCCTTTAATAGAAATTTCTTTAATTGAGGGTACTTTCCAGGACTCGTTAGCGAATTTATTCAATGCCTACCCACAATTGTAAGGCGGTGTCCAGACTTCAATACTTTCAAAAATAATTGTTTTACAATTTTAAAGAGTAGGGCCAACATGTGCCTAAGTTTTTATAACTTCATAAAGTGTCTTGATAAGAATTCTTAGTTATGGTTACTTATATAAGTATTTTATAGCATTTTAGATTTAATAGTTTTAACAGTTTTTAAGTGCATATTTATGTAAACAGTGAATGATTTTTGTATAACATTATTGTGTAAGTCATTAGTTTTTAGTTAGTATGACAGATGTAGAGCTACCATGAAGAAATACTGTCAATAAATCGTTGTTACTATTATTATTATTACAATCCCATCTGACATTGCATTTGCTAGATCCTCCCTGTCAGTTCCAGAATCCCTCAAAATCATATCTGAAATTTTCCTTGAATGAGCAGTGACACTAATGGTTTCCATAGAGGAAGGGATTGAATGATCTCACTATTTTCTCTTTCCCAAAATATTTCAACAAAACACCAACCAAGGATTCCACACATTAAAATGTATTAGATTAATCAATTACATACACATTACTTATAATTTAAAGGCATTTTTCACCTATAGTTATTGAGCCGTATGTCCCAGAGTCTGACATTGGTATCATAGCCACAGGACAGGAGTGTGTGAGGTGATTCCCACTTCATTCCACGAACACCAGCTCCTAGTTTAGTTACACCAGAAACCAGGCTGGTGATCAGTTTTCCACTGCAAGTAAGAGAAAAATGTTAGTACAACGATTCACTCTTAACATCTACCCTCTATACATGAGAAGGGCATCTCTGTAAAACAAACATAAAGAGTTGGTCCCTGCCCTTCTTTACCCCTTTCATTTGACTCTCTTTAAGACTGACATCTCTCTATGATAGACACTTTAATAGTGCCAGTACCATAGATATCCAACTTAAAGAGTGCAAGTGGACTGTAGTTATTTAAGAGAATTTTCCAGTGAAAGCAACGGACATAACTCCTGACTGGAATGACCATTATATTTATTTCTTTGTACAGCAGCCCTTTTGGACCAAAATAACGAGGCTATCAAATTTTATGAATTAAAATAACTTAAGGTGATTCCATAGTAAAAGAACCTAACACAGATTGTAGATGAAACTTGGTACACTGATGCAACGAGTCAAGGAGATGACAAAAACGTAACAAAAAGTGGGGGTCACCGAGCTCGTTTTGACGTCACAATGCTGACAAATACGGCTATTTAGGACCCTCTGACAAAAACCATGCACAGCCCAAAACTAGACAAAAAGGAGCGATTTTTTTCATGATGCAAGTGGTATCACACAGAATTTGATTTAAATAAATTGTTTATCCACATACGTACCAGAAAAATGCCTTTTTATGCCCTTGTTTTAACTTTAAGCTCCAAAATAGACTAAATTTGGACACGCGCTTTTCAACTCGTTATAGTTCAATCCGTACCATTTAGTAAAATTGCCAAAAAACTGAACATAGACTTTTGCCAATACAGTATTTTTCACATTGAACGGAAGCACTGTTCTTATTAAAAGCATGAAATAAAAAATGGGGGTCACCGTACTCGTTTTTGCGGCAACGCTGCAGAAAGTGCGCACCACATGCATTTTCTCCGATAACTGAGAGAGGACTGGGGCGAGTTTCAAAATGGCATGTATGTGGAAGGGGAAGAAGGCACAAAATAATCCGTTTTTTCAGAATTTAGATAGAGATATCACACTTAGGACGCAAGGTGATAAAGATGGTGCTTAAATGAAAATCAGAGTGAGATATATAGCCTACGTTTAGCGTCCACTATCGAGGTTCTCCCTAAGAAAGTTGAACTCAGTAACACGCG